GAAGAAAAGCATCTGGGTGTATACAAGATTAAATGGCGCAATGCAATGTGAAGTTGAGTGCAAGGACTGTTCGGCACAGACTTGCAGGAATTTGGCCTAAAATCTAGAATTCCACAAAAAAAGCCACTTTTATCTCTCAAAGGTTGAAAAGACTAAACTGGGCTAAAACCCATGTTACCTGGACAGAGGAACAATGGGATAATGTTATTTGAAGTGATGAGACCAAGATCTCCCTGTTTGGTAGTGATGGCATAAAATACGTAAGGAGAAGAATCGGAGAACATTTGCATCCTGATTGCATTACATACATTACAAACACCCAGTCAATGTTATGATCTGGGGTTGTATGATATCAAAAGGTGTGGGCAGAATTTGTGTGATTTGTGTGAATATAAATGGCCAAAAATACATTAATGAAATACTTGAGCCCAAACTGAAGCCTTCTGCGCCTGATCTTTTCCAAGACAATGAAGCATTTATATTTCAACAGGATTCAGCTCAATGTCATATTGCTGCTGTGTGCAAAAAGTGGTTTCAAGATAATCATATTCCATTGCTGGAATGGCCTGGGAATAGCCCAGACCTTAACCCAATTGAAAATCTATGGAGCCGACTAAAGAAACCTGTTAGTCAGAAGCGACCCAGCAATAAAACCCAGTTAATAGAAGCAATCATTCAATCTTGGTTTCACATTATAACACCTGCAGAACTAAAGGACTTGGTTCACTCCATGGGAAGACGTTGTAAAGCGTAATTCATGCTAAAGGCTACCCAGCTAAGTATTAACTGACATGGTGATAATTTTTGTATATCTCATTTTTTCTGTGGTGATAATTTTTGTATATCTCATTTTTTCTATGGTGATAATTTTTGTATATCTCGTTTTTTCTAAGTGTTTCACTTTTCTTCTTTATAACTGCTATTCTAATAGCAAATCATAAAAGTTATTGCATTACATTCTTGATTAAATTAACTTTCCATTGATATATAATTTTATGGTACTACTCCAAACAAAGTGGTGTTATTAGCCATCAAACCTCAAATGTACACTTTTCCCAAAAGGTTTCCACAATTTTGGCCACTACTGTACCTACCAGTAAAGGGGGAAAAGAAAAAGAACTAAAAGGCATCAAGGAATCCCTCAGAACCTAACTGGGCCTTCATCAAATCCTAAAAAAAAAGACCCAGCAAGAGCTCCTCCATTACAGACAAAGAAGAGAACAACAAACATAGCAACATTGTTATTCCATATGTAGCAGGAATATCTGAAAAGCTCAAGATGATTTTCAACCAACACAACATACACCAACACAACATACATATACAAGTTGAAAGCATTGTCATCCTACTTGCAGACAAAAGCAGACTGACGGTAGTAATGGACAAAGATGACTACATCTGCAAAGCTGAAAATCATCTCAATGACACCAACGCCTACCAAATAATCTACAATGATCCTACAAAACAGCTAGAGAACAAAATAAAAAATACGCTAAGAAAAATGGAAAAAGAAAAACAGCTAACACCACTACAGAGAAAGCACATGAAACCACAAGATTCCTCCACACCCAGGGGTCTACGGACTCCCCAAAATATACAAGAACGGGATCCCATTATGCCCAATTGTATCTCTACCTGAACACCAATATACAAACTAGCAAAAACCATGCAGAGAAAACTCGGACACCTGGTCAATGACTCAATAAACTCCCCAGAATAATTTCTCCAATGCATCAAACACACCAAGATCAATAAGGAAGAAAGTATTGTATCCTTCAACATCAACGCCCTGTTCACCTCAATTGACATTCTCCTGGCTAAAAAAATCATTCACCACCTACTCACTAAACAACATACCCAGAAGGATGACGCCACCACGGAACATTTCATGTCCACAGAAACCATCATGAAACTCTTGGATCTATGCCTCAACACATACTTCAAGTTTAATGAAAAAATATACAAGCAAGTACAAGGTATCCTGATGGGATCACCCATATCAGGCCTAATAGCAGAAGCAGTCATGCAATGACTTGAATCCATAGCTCTACCCACCAGCCAACCAAAATTCTGAACATGCTAAGTTGATAAGACCTTCGTCATCATCAAATGCTCCCAAATTGAAGAAACACACCACCTGTTTAATAACATATTCCCAAGGATCAAGTTTACACGTGAAGAGGAAACACAACAAACTCCCATTCCTCAACATCGACATAAGGAGACTGGACAATGGAGAACTAGAAACCTGCATCTACTTCAAACCTATGTACACGGACCAGATCCTCAGTTTCACAAGCAACCATCCTACTGCACACAAAAGGAGCTGCATCTAGACCCTCTTCAGAAGGGCCAAGATACACTGCAGCACCACAACACTAAGAAAAGCAGAAGAGAAATGGCTGCTTGATGTCTTTTTCTGTAATCCAAAAAACTTCGCATTCCAACACACAGCACCCAAACCACAACACACCACGCAGCTGACCACCACACAAAACAACCCTACCATACATAAAAGGAGTGTCAGAAATGACAGCCAGAATTCTCCAACCCCTAGGAATAACAATAGCCCACAAACCCACAGCCACACTCTGCCAGGAATTATCAAGAACCAAAGACAAGATACAGAAGGATGAAAGAAACAATGTAATCTACAAAATAGACTGTAACAATTGCAACCAATTATATGTGGGACAAACATCACATTAGTTAAAAACCAAGATCCATGAACACTGGCTAGCAATCAAATGCCACAATTCCAAATCCTTAATCCAGTGGTGGCGAACCTATGGCACAGGTGCCAGAGGCGGCACTCAGAGCCCTCTCTGTGGGCATGCGCGCCGTCGCCCCAGTCCTAGGCCTTCAGCTGGGTTTTATAAAACTTTTTCGCTTTAGGCCTCTGCCGCCGTGCGCAAAAAAAAAAAGGTTCAATCAGTTAATTTCAACTTCTTGTGGGGAAAAAAAGGATCTTGCAAAGTTGGAATTGATTGATTGAACTTTTTAGTCCCACCCAGTCTGCTGTTACCACTGCAGCCATGCCCACCCAATTGGCCATGCCCAGCCAATGGGCCACACCCAGCCAATGGGCCACACCCACCCGGCACTCAACAATGCATAAGTGGGTTTTAGGTTGCAGTTTGGGCACTCAGTCTCTAAAAGGTTCGCCATCACTGCCTTAATCTCTACCCACACCGACACAAAAAAAACCACCAGTTCAATTGGAGCAACACTAAAATCGGCCACGCTATCACCCACCACGCTCATGAGTTCATTGAGGCCTGGCACTCCACAAGTAATTCCATCAACAGACACATCGACCTACAACGAGCCTACGAACCCCTCAGATTCCAAATGAACCACACAGCCAACCAGAGACAGCACCAACCATCAACCAACCCACGCAAGTCCCCCTCCCACCAGCAATTCACCTCCCAATGACCCTTATCTGATGTAACCTCCCTATCACAAGACTCATCACAAGCCTTTCACTGATGACTCATACCTGACCCATCACAAGACCTTCACTTGATACACCCACACCTGAAGCTTTTATAAACAGAACAATGACACTGACATCCTCCAAACTCCACTGAAGATGTTACCTAGCCTGGTAATGAAACATTCAGAAACCAACCCACAAGCTCAGAGAACGAACCTTCACCCTCATACATGTACACTTTAAACCCAAGAATAACTAAGGCAGAAGTCTGTCCACCCCAAGGATAAAACACCCAGACACAAAACAGCAATGTGATATATGCAACACAATGTAGTGAGACATGTGTAGACCTGTACATTGATGAAACAAAACCACTTCACAAGTGCATGGCACAACATATGAGATCAAACCCATCAGGACAATATTCAGCAGTCCATCTGCATTTGAAAGACAAAGGTCACTCTTTTGAAGACAGCGAAGTCCACATTTTGGATAGAGAGGACCATTGGTTTGAAAAAGGGGTAAAATAATCATTTATGTTACAACTGAACACTCTTCCCTCAACAGAGGGGAAGGAATAAGACATCACCTATTTCCAGTTTACAATGCAGCCCTTGCAGCAGTTCCAAGAAGATTCCACAATCAATTGCACCCTGTTTCAGGTGACCCTAAGGGCACAGATAAACTCCCAAGTGACCTCAACAGTTCTCAGAGAAAGATGAGATGAAACAACCAGATGACTGCAAAGAAATACAATCCTTCCATCCCACTCCCCACATCCTATCAGAACCTATCCTTCCATTCTTCCATCATCACACCCTCCTCAACCACCAGAACTGATGATTCTTGGATGAGAAGTGAAATGTTTTATTCTTATTTCTCAAAGAAAAATAATCCAGTTGCTTTTGAAGAAAAAAGCACTTGTGAGACAATTATGGCAGCTTATTTCATGGTTTGATGTGAATACCAGTATGGGTTCCTCCCCTGAATAGTCCTCAACTTATAACTAGTCACCTAACCACAGTTTAAAAAATTACAATAGCTTTGGAAAAATTTACTTAACCTGCCCTCTAAGTTAAGGATGTTGCACCAACCCCCATAGCATTTCAGGCACTTGGCAACTGGTTTGCATTTACAACTGGTTGCACAGGGCCACATGATTACATTTTGCAACTTTTTTGCCATTTTCTAGCAAAAAAAATGCCCTTTGGATAAACTGGATAAGCTGGACTCAAGTTTCTAACTCTAATTCACTTAACAACAATGGTGACTTGCTTAACAACTATCATAAAAATGGCTATAAAATCAAGTCTGGTCACATGGTGACTCAGCTTATGACCACAGTGGCTTAATGACCAAAGTTCTGGGCTCAATTGTCATAAATTGAGGACCAACTGTATCTGACTAATATAAAAACAGAATACTTGGGAAACAATCCAGTAACTTTGCTATAGAAATTTTACATGCTTGAAATATATATGGGTTTTTAGCGTCTAATCTTTCAAATTGGGTTTTGTTTTTTGTTTTTGTTTTTGTTTTTTGTTTGGCTTCCATTTGATAGAATGGATTTGCTGTAGTTCGACCTCCTGGTCACCATGCAGAAGAAAGTACCCCTATGTAAGTATGTGACTGTACTTGGACTGGGAATTTTCACTTAGCTGGGCAATGTATTGGCTGTTTGTAATCTTCCAGAACAGCCTTTGAATGGGGGGAGCCTTTTGTTTTAGCAGTTGGAGAGCTTAGGGTGGGGTTAAGGGTAAAATGGGTGCCATAAGCCTGTAGAAGTTTAAAGCATCCATTTCACCCCTTCAAAAATGCCAAATATTTAAACAATTTTTTCAGTTGGTTTCGGAGATAAAGATATAAATAAAGACAGCATGAAAACTTAGCTTTGCCTTTCTGGCAGCATTTCTGTGTTGATTTCTTAACTGCTGTGGTTTTTGGTTACTGAAAATAATATTTTGTAAATTATAGCTGCCACCAAACAGTTGTGGATGAAAGCAGGATTCTGTAAAGATTTAAACTTTCAATCATTTAAGTGTTGTTGGGTTTTAAAATAATAATTTGCCATATTGACCAAAAGTGGTTTGATTGTTGGTATTTTTAATGTATAAAATGTAATTGTATAATTTAATTAATGGTGTGCAAGGAAATAGATCTGTATACCTACATTTTGAATAGTAACAGACAAAATTGTAAAACTATTGTTACCATTGGAACACTTTTGAAACTTGTATTCAGAATTTCATACTTTCATTTATAAATTCCATTTCCTTTTAGGGGTTTTTGCTATTTTAATTCTGTAGCCATTTCTGCCAAACTTCTCCAGCAGAGACTGAACGTGAACAAAATCCTTATAGTGGATTGGGTGAGTGAATAAAAAATTGCTTTAAATATATGCTCTTTAGGTTGAGTAAGAGCGGCCTCCTGAGTATCCTTTTTTGTAGCTGTCAGGCCCATTTTCACAGACTCCATTTCCAGAATCTGACCATGATACAGCCCCATTTTTTATTTTTGCATATTATCTTGTTTACAATTATATTGCCAGCTATCACACCTGAAAAATAGGCACAAAATGCAAAACTGACAAAATCTAAGTAAACTTTCAAAGAATCCAAAATTATTGATACAAAAGTAACAAACATGCCAATCGGGGGGGGGGGGGTCAGAATAAAGCAAGCATGTTTACTACTATTGTTTTTGTTTAATTAGATAAGAATTCCCAATTATTTTAATAGGATAACAGAGTTCAGAGAGTATTTTCCTTTCAATTACAAAGGCTTTATTCTTCAGTGGAGAATAACCAGTGATGTAAGTTGAATGAAAAGAAAGAAAAAGCAATTTAAAATACATTGAAATAGTAGGCAAACTGGTTATGTCAAGTAAAAATAATGAAAACAATACAAAATGATGTGGTTTATGATTTGATAAAATAGATACCTTAGAAACTAATCACTGACAAGCATATTGATTTCAATAAGAAAAAAACTTAATACCAAATCTTGCTAATTCCTTCTGTATGAAAATTCACTTAAGAATGTTAAATACTTAAGCATAAACACAAATGTTAAATCCACCACCTTAGTGAGACTTAAAACTTTTAAATAATGTTTAAGCTTAAATAAATATGTCAAGAGGCATGAAAAAAATAAAAAAATGATTCGAAAGAGGAAAGGTTTTCAAATAATAGAATAGTCTAATTCTCCACTTTGGGAGGGGCTAAAGTTCTAGCTGCAATAAGTTACAAGAATTAGTTATAAGAAACTTCATCGTGCTAAGTCTAAGAAGACACTTTTTCATCATTTGAAGGCAGTTACACATCTTCATATCATAGATAGGAATAGATAGTCCAAAGAAGATAGTCTATCCAAAATAGATAACACCAATTTCAGTGATGCAGAGGATATCCTCTCCAAAGATGAATTACTACTTCAAAAAATGGCCACTCCAACCAAGCCTAACAAAATTAGAAATAGCCACATTCCACCTCACCAATAGGTACACAAATTACCAGCCTTCAGTGAAGTTCCGGAACCGTATTTTATAATGTAATAACTCTCTGAAGTAACCCGGGGGGAAAACTGGACAGATCACTAACCTTCCATCAACACCTGAAAAAACAGCTGCAAAATTCAAAAGCTGCAACAATTTATTGAACAGATTGACTGGAACATCCTGGGGTGCTGATGCTAACACCCTATGGACAACAGTGTTAGCTTTGGTTTATTCCACAGCTGAATATTGTGTCAGCATGTGACTTAACAGCGCTTACACCAAAATGTTCGATACCCAACTCTGCCAGACAATGCTTATCATCTCTGGCATATTGCATCCCATTCCTGTGTACTGGTCACCAGTACTTAGCAATATCATACCACCCCACATTGGGAAGACAACAAGCTCTCATTCAGTTATGGTCAAGGATGCTGAACAACAAGACCCTCCCTATTCACTAGGACAATGTGCAACCCATCACAAGATTGAAATTGTAGGCCAGCCTGGAAAACAACTATTTATTTAACACCTAACCAGTTTAAACCTGAGAATGCCTGGAGAGAGGAATGGTCCAAGGTATATTCTTGTGGCCTGACCATTAGTGATCCCTCTTACCAAACCACATGGTTTTGACCTGCCTCGCTTTGTGTGGTCAGAATTGAACAGAATTAGTTATGATATTTGGAAGACGTGCTTCTGCTCTGTATCAGTGGGGAGGGAAAGATTCCCCTTGTTGCAATTGTGGTGTTGATATGCAAATTATTGTGCAAGATTGCCCACGTCGTGCATTCTCTGGTTCCCTAGAAGATTTGCACGAAGCAACACCAGAGGCGATTGCTTGGATAGCTGAATTGGACATCCAATTGTGACACCACTGCAATACCCCCATAGAAGGTTTTTTTTTATGTAGACTGTGTATGTTTACTTCTGTCATGTTCTAATGTACGCTAAATAATAAAAACAATAGGAATATTTTGCTACTTCTTTAGATTCTCATTGACTATTGGTAAGGGCTTGCTAATTGAACATTATGCTGATGGATTGTCCATTCAAAACCTTAACTAAATTCTTTAATCCTATGCTTCTTATTTGCATCTGGAGTCTTTTGTTACCACAACAGATGTTATTTTTATTACCCCACCCTTTTCCTAGATCAGTCACTTCTTTTATCTGGCATGTCAGAACCATAGACATCCTATGCCCCATTAGATCATCTTTTCAAAGATACTTCCTGACCAAAACAGAATGACCACAGGTGGCAAAAATGCAGAGGGAGCAAGAGCAACTTCTGACTTCCTGACAGTTTCCCCATTGAGTTTCACTGGAGAAATCTTCCTTCCTTCCTTCCTTCCTTCCTTCCTTCCTTCCTTCCTTCCTTCCTTCCTTCCATCCATCCATCCATCCATCCATCCATCCATTTCTTTACTTCCTCCCTCCCTCCCTCCCTCCCTGATATAATAAACAGAAAAGGAAAAATTAGGGAGAGGGGATCAAAACGAGGAAAAAGTTAAAAATTGAAAAGAAAAAAAACTAAAGAAAATAGTTCATACAAATATATAGTAAAATAACTCCTTACTCTGTTCAAACAAAACATAAACATCATATAAAAATATCAAATTAAGCAATCAAAATAGCAAAATTATATAGCAGTATAATGTCTTTGTTTTAATATATAAAAGAATATATAATGTAGGTTTCTAACAATAAGATAAATACACAATATTTTTGTAATCATAGCAGATCTAATCATTGAAGCCTAAGAACAAAACATTTTTCTCAAAGAAGTCTGAAAGTGTTCTCTAAGGAGAAACAAAGCTAGATAGGCTTTCATCAAAGTATTTAGTTTGTCGTTTCTACAAATTCCATTAATTTCACAATCCATTCTTCAGTTATGGAAATTTGTATATTTTTCCACCTCTGTGCAAGTCTCTCCATTATTACTATGTATAAATAGAATCCCATATTTTCCTTCAATTTGATTAATTGATAACTAGATAATATCTAAAAGGAATGTTTCTGGATTCAATTTTACATCCATTTTTAGTATTTTTGCAATCAAAAATACCTTATGCCAACATTTCTTGGCAGTTTTAGATGTCCACCAAAGATTATAAAAAGTATTTTCATATTGATTACATTTCAGCACATACACAAAGTTGTATAAGGGAAGATCAGATACCTTTGCTTATACATCTTTGACAATTTCTCAGGAGTTAAATACCAAGAATACATCTTTTTATAAAAAACAGTTCTGTCAAATTATTGTTCAGTGAAAATTTTGATCCATTAATCCAGATTTTTTCCATAGATTGAGCATAATATAGACAATTTTTGTCCATTTAATCACATATTCTTTAGCATATTCATCCTCCTGGTTCATTTTCAAGAACAGTTTATATGCCTTGGCAATAAAATGATCATCATTAGTACATAAGTGCCTTTCAAAGTAGAATAGAATAGAATAGAATAGAATAGAATAGAATAGAATAGAATAGAATAGAATAGAATAGAATAGAATAGAATAGAATAGAATAGAATAGAGCTGGAAGGGACCTTGGATGTCTTCTAGTCCAGTTCTCTGCTCAAGCAGAAGAACCTATACCATCTCAGACGGGAAGGAGCATCCGCGATTTCTGAAGGCAAGCTGTTCCACTGGTTAATTGTCTTCACTGTCAGGAAGTTTCTCCTTAATTCCAAGTTGCTTCTCTCTTTGATCAGTTTCCAACCATTGTTTCTCATACTTCTCTCTGGTGCTCTGGTGAACAACGTGCCCACCTTTCCTTGTGGCAGCCCCTCAGATACTGGAATACTGCTATCATGCCCTATTTCTTATTTTCTTTAGACTACCCCAGGGATAGGCAACCTTGGCTCTTTTATGACTCGTGGACTTCAACTCCCAGAATTCCTGAGCCAGCCATGCTGAGGGGAAAGGGAGAGGTTTCCAAGCTGAGCAATACTGGCTCAGGAATTCTGGGAGTTGAAGTCCACAAGTCATAAAAGAGCCAAGGTTGCCTATCCCTGGACTAGCCAAACCCAAGTCCTGCAGCAGTTCTTCGTATGTTGTAGTCTCCAGACCTTTGATCATCTTAGTTGCTCTTCTCTGAATTTTTTCCAAAGTCTCAACATCTTTTTTGTGATATGGTGAACAAAATTGGCTGCAGTATTCCAGATGCGGTCTTACTAGGATTTTATAAAGTGGTACTAATACTTCGCATGATCTTGATTTTGTGCCTTTGTTTATACAACCCAGGATTGTATTAGCTTTTTTGGTTGCTGCTGCACACTGCTGGCTCATGGTCAAGTGATCGTCCACTAGGACTCCAAGGTCCCTCGCACAGTTACTGTTTTTGAGCCAGGTCTGTACTTGTACCTGCCTAAATGTAAAACTTTGTTTTTCTCCACATTGAAACTTATTTTGTTGGATAGGGCCCGTTGTTCAAGTTTGTCAAGATCTTTTTGAATCCTGAGTTTGTATTCTGGGGTGTTGGCTACTGCTGTCAGTTTGGTGTCATCTGCAAATTGAAGAGTTCCCCTTCAATTCCCTCATCTAAGTCATTTATGAAGATGTTGAAGAGTACTGAGCCTAAGACGGAACCTTGTGGTACCCCACTGCTTACTTCTCTCCATGTGGATGTAGTGCCATTGAGGACTATTTGTTGAGTACAGTTTGTCAGCCAGCTACAGGTCCATCTGGTGGTGATGTTGTCTATTCCACCTTTTTCTAGCTTACCAAGGAGTAGGTTGTGGTCTACTTTATCAAATGCCTTAACTGAAATCTAAGTATACTACATCCACAGCATTTTGTTGGTCTACTAGTTTAGTCACTTTATCAAAGAATGAAATAAAATTGGTTTGGCATGATCTGTTTTTAAC